GTGAAAATATTGTCGGGCATAAACCGGTCCGTGGCGCAAAAAAGGTTGGGGACCGCTGTCCTAGAGTTCTTGTTGGCAACCAACAATTATCCATCCAGACAAGTTTTGAGGCACCAAACTGAGTAACAAATACTTTTAAAAGTGACTTGAAAAGCAGCCGTGCCAGCTTGGTGCGGTCAGACTGATGCTGCTAAAAGATGTTAAATAGCCTGCTGTACACACAGACTAAAATACATATTTGAATGACAAACAAATGCAGATGACATACTGGGCTTTCTCAGCGTCTAAGGACTGAAATCCCATAAACTTGTGACCTTCCACTGTTAACAGCCAAACAGATCCAATCACAGGCTGTTGGGCCATCTTGGCAAAGAGTTTGTCTGTAAATGATTCAAGTCAAGAGGTTAAACCTGTGTAACTGCACACCACGGCCTGTGTCCAATCCCAGCTAATCCACACCGCGCTCGTAAACCACCTACACCTGAATCTGTTGTTTACTGCCCTAAGGCACAAACGCAATGTGCATGGACCTGAAATTTTTATTAGCAGGTTTAAAATGAGCCAGTGCAAAGATCAAAGTGAGATCTGAGATGTTTTCTTTAATGTGTTTTGTGTTAAGAAATTAGAGGCACCAAAAACCTAAAAGCATCCCAACATTTTCAGAAGTGCGTTTGTTGAATATGATACAATATAATATTTAGATGTTGTTACTCAGGTTCAAATTTAAACTAATACTTGTAAGTCCTTGTAAAAGTAATACACTGTGAAGAGAAGACACATTGGAGAGAAAATTAATTATATACGTTTGTAATTCATCTGTGCACCTCGAGTGGCTGCAGTCTCTGTATGTTAATCTGAACAGCTCCCGTCTTTATCTTATCTCTACAATTAGCGACAAGTTATCAGTCACGATCACTCCATGTGGAAACGTCATTATGGTATTTATGGGCTGAGTGGGTGTGGAGGAGCTTCGGTTTAGGAGATTCGTTTCCTGCCTGGGAGTCTCTAATCTGTCCCACAGGAGACTCACTGGGTCCCTCTGACCGGATCGCTCTGACCTAATTCCTCTCTCCCACAGGGCTCGTCTGGGATGAGGGCATATAAACCATTGTCTGCTGTGAACTGGGTAACATGACACATGGAATATAACAATACATACAATGAGAATGCACAGAGTACAGTCCAGAGAAGAGCTGCCATTTCAACCCAACATTACGGCAAAACGTGTAATAGAGGTAATTGTCTTTGGTGCCAAAGAAAAATGATTACAGGTCACCAGAGAACTTCAATCTATTCACCTAAAAACCACAAACCAGGCGAGAAATGTGGGTGTAGTGATGGATGCAAACCTAAACTTAGAAAAACACATTAAGACAATAACAAAATCAGCTTACTATCACCTCAAGAATATATCAAGGATAAAAGATCTGATGTCTCAACAGGACCTGGAAAAA